TGCCTTGTGCTTTTGTGCCCAGCTGCGTGCATCTTGGCAGTGTGTCCCCTGTGGCAGCATCCCAGGCAGTTCCAGTTAAAAGACAATCAAACTTCCTGCTTCTTGGTGCTTGCTTCCTGCCCATTTCCTGACTCTGATCCTGCTTTCCTCTGGCATTTCCTGATAGCCTTCCAATAAGTTCTTTTGGTCCTTAGGACAACCAGGTACTCCAACTGATACTGTCTAGAAACATGTACAATGAGAAAACTCCACTTGTCTACTCTCCCCTGGATGCTCCAGAGAAGATGCCCTAGGGCCCACCAGTGATACCCTCACGCCCACCTGAAGTCCACCTGCTGACACTGACCTGGTGCCTCCTTGCCTCCTTATCTCCACATCTGGGGCTCAGTTTGCTTCTGTGCTTCCTCCCTCAAGGCCCCTTCCACTGTCCATCCTATAAGTATGGTCAGCCCTTGGCTCCAACCTCCCCCTCTTCCTTTCTCGTCACTCAGCAATACTTCCCTCATGTTAGTGCCGTGTCCCCACTTCCACCCCAGGTGTTCCTAGATCTTGCCCTATACTGAGCTGTAGACTCTCCCCTGATGGAAATCTCCACCTGCAGGTCCTAGAGAACCTAATACACAAAGGCACTAATAACCTTCCTTCCTCTCATTCTCTTGCCTCCCCTCATCAACTTGATGGTCCAGCCTGCCCAGCTCCCCTTACGCCTGATCAACCCCACTTGGGCAGTCATAAAAGTCTTAAGATTTTCTATCCAAAGACTGAGGATGTAGCCCAGTGGTAGAGCATTTGTCTGATACATAAGGCCCTACAAGGTAATTTATTCTTAATCTTAGGCAAAGGTGCTTGCTACCCATCCTGATGACCTGAGTTTAATCCCTGAAGCCCACATGGTGGAAAGAATTGACTCTTGAAAGTTGTCCTCTGACCTACGTAGATCCACCTGCCCCTGCCTCTGGAATGCTGGCATTAAAAGCATGAGCCATCACACACAGGTCTTTTTTCATTTTCGACACTTAATAGTATTTACAGTACTTGGTATTCCCAAGTGGTCTCTCAGGCAACAGTAACCAAGCCAGACCCTGCTTAGCTTTCAAGATGATCGCCTATGTCAGGGTCCAGAACCTGCAGATTTCAAGGGATCGCGTTTCCACTTGTTTTCCCACAACACAGAGGTCTGGAGGCAGAATGTTACCGGACCCTGCCAGACAAACTCAGTTTTGAGGCTTCCCTGCATGGTAGCTGTAAGGAGCAAAACTAGGTCTCATTTTGTTTTGTTTAGTGTCTGTTATTAAGCTTTTATTATTTTTTTTATGTGTATGTTGTTTTTGGTTGTATGTGTATCTATGCACCACATGTGTGCTGGTACACATGAAAGCCAGAAGAGGCCTTGGATCTCCTGGAACTAGAGTTACAGATGATTGTGAGCTGCCATGTGGGTGCTGGAATCCAACCTGGATCCTCTAGAATAGTAGCTAGCCCTTAACTGATGAATGGATCTCAGCAATCCCAAAGAACATAAACTTTTAAAATTTATTTTTGTTATGTGTATGAGTTTTACCTACATGTATGTATTATGCACTGCATGTGTGCAGAGGTCAGAAGAGAGCACTGGATCGCCTGGATCTGGAACTATGGGTAAGCCACCATTTGGATGCTAAAACCCAATCCTCTTCAAGAACAGAGAGTGCTCTTACTTGCTGAGCCATCTCTCCAGCCCATAAAGGACACATATTTAGAAAAATTTAAAATAAGCAGAAAATTCACAGTAAACTCTCTTAGTTTGTGGTTTCTATTGCTGCAACCAAACACCATGACCAAAAAGCAAATTGGGAAGGAAAGGGCTTATTTGGCTTACACTTCCATATTGTTGTTCATATTAAAGGAGTCAGAACAGGAACTCAAACAGGGTAGGATCCCAGAGGCAGGAGCTGATGCAGAGGCCATGGAGGGGTGCTGCTTACTGGCTTGTTTCCCATGGCTTGCTCATAGAACTCAGGACCACCAGCCCAGGGATGGCACCACCCACCATGGGCTGGGTCCTCCCCAATTGATCACTAATTGAGAAAATGTCTTACAGCTGGATCTCATGGAGGCCTTTCTCCAGCTGAGGCTCCTTCCTCTCTGATGACTCCAGCTTGTGTGAAGTCGACACACAAAACCAGCCAGTACACTGTCGTAGCACATACCATAATACTTCACAGTAAAAATTGAGTCAAAAGAGAGCCCATGAGGGCTGGGCTTGGTGGTTCCACTTGGGAGATAGAGGCAGGAGGATCTCTGTGAGTTCCAGGCCAGCCAGCCAGAGCTACAGAGTGAGACCTTATCTCAGAATAAAACAGCTAGTCAACAAAGAGGGGAAAGGGGAATGGAAGGCCTGGAGGACCCTGGGAAAGAGGGCAGAGGGAAGGGGTGGGGAGCTCAGAAGAGTCCAGAATAGACAAGAGCCAGCGGGGAATGGGGGCTGGGAGGAAGGTTGGTATGTCTTAAGAGCAGGAGTCAGCGTGGATTCCTTCTCTCAAAGGCCTCAGGCTGCCACTGAGCAAGATGAAGAGACAAGGGCTGGGTCTTAATTAGTTCTTTTAATCTCTTGGATCTGTCCTCTACACCAGGGCACCCCAAGTTCCAGGCTGCTGTAAAGGATGCCTGCAGTGTCCAGCATGTTCTTTTCCCCAAGGCTAGGAGAGTCAAGTATGTACTGTGTTCTTGTTCCTAAGGTTTTGAAGGCCAAAGTTAACACCAAGGCCTATGGGGCCACCTAAAAATCACTGGTTGACAAAAAGAGACTGAGACTAAATCTGTGGACTGACCTGTAAAATCAATACAAGATGCAACCACTTTTGACTACCCCCTCCATCATATATCCTTGGTTACAGTCCCAAACCAGCTCCCCAACCTCCCTGCTCCCCAACTAACCATACAACATCAAGCCTGTTAAAACCAGTCAGAAGTCACTCTGCTCCAGGCTCTCCAACTCCTATTCCACTCCCTCTGACCCTACGTACAGTTCCAAATGACTCTTGTTCTCAAGCCTGGCCTTTGTCCTCAGCTTCAAGGTAAGTAATGTCTAGGCCTCTGGAATGTCCTGTCTTGGGAGTTGTCTTTGGGGATATCAGCCAGGCTGCCAAAGTTTAACATATGGGAAAAAGTACTTGTCCAGAGCCTTGGGAGGGGCTGGGAGACTGAAGTCAATCTGTGATTCTGCTCCAGGGAAACAGGAAACCCGGCATGGGATACATGTTGTAATACCAGCACTCAGAAGACCAAGGCAGGACTACTACAGTTTGAAGACAGTCTGGACTACATTGCTAGATACTGCCTCAAAAGAGCAGAAACAAGTCCAGGTGGAGCCTGCCGGCAATTTTACCAGGTAGAGGTGGGAGGACCAGGAGTTCAAGGTCATTCTTGGCTCCACTGAAACTCTGAGACAATCCAAAACTCTGGTCACCAAAGGCTCAAGTGAGTTTCCTGCTTCCTTGTTACCATTTGTGGCTAGGAGGTAATCCTCAGAGAAAATACAGAAAACCTTCCCACCCTCTCAGGCTCTGCCCATGCACCTCTTCTTTTCCCTGGTTGTCTACCCTTTTGTTAATAAAAACAATGCTGTGACTCATCCTAGCATTCAGCCCACCTGAGGGATCTCGTGGAACCACTGGCTTACAGCTGCTGCTGAAGAGCAGTCCCGAGGGCTGAGGAGCATGGCCCCTGCCGTCTATCAAGCTTTGTATCCTCTGTGACTACCTTACGAAGCCCTCTGTGGTCTGCCCACCCCCTGCCGAATAACCTCATTTCTTACTCCTTTACTCCTGCCACACAAGGACCAGTCATGTTCCCATTCAGATACCCGAAAGCTTCCCCAGATCTGCCAGGTATGGCTAACCTTTGACACTAACGTAACAAGTGTAATCAACGTTTATGACTCTGTATTGGGCCACACTCATACCTTGGTAGGCCATGGGTTAGAAGTTCGCCTGCTTGGTGGGATGGACTTCCTCCAAACCCAAGCCCCCAACCTCTTGCTCTTGACAGTTTCACTTTTCCTTCTTATTTGTGTGCTTTGCCTGCATATATGTATGTAAATCACAGGCAAGTCTGGTGCCTGCAAAACCAGAAATGGGTGTTGATCCCCTGGAACTGCAGTAAATGATGGTTATGAGCTGCCGTGTGGGTGCTGGGAACTGAACCTGGGTCCTCTGCAAGAGCAGCCAGTGTTCTTAACCTCTGAGTCGTCTCCCCAGCCCCACACTTTCCTTTTTGATCACTCACAGTCTCTATCATACAAAAATGTTCACTCCTTATTTCTTCTCCATCTCCACACAAGAGACTACATACCCTAAGGAAGCAAAGGTTTTGTCTTGTTGGCTTTTCTCTGTAGTGGGGAATGGTGTGAGGGATCAAAGAGTGCAGTGCACACTGGGTAAATGCCTCCCCACTGAATAAAGAGGCTTTTTTTTGGGTTTTGTCTTTTGTTCTCTGCTAGAAGCCCCAGGCCCTAGCAGTGGCAGACTTCAGGTCATCCCACCCCGACTCTTCTTCCTTGAAGAGACAAATGGGCAAAAATGAGAACTGACACCAGGGCTGGAGACCTGAGCTAAGGAAGATAAGGCAAAGCGGGTGATACCTAAGACCTCAGGACACCCAGGCCAGTGGGAGGAGATGTGGCTGCTGCTCCAGCCCAGATACCTTGCTGCTAACTTTGGAAGGGCCCCTCTCTGCCTTGGTCCCTGAATGATTGAATAATTTAGAAGCTACACACTAGGAAGTCAGAGGCAGGCAGATCTCTGAGTTTGAGACCAGCCTGGTCTATAGAGCTAGTTCCAGGACCACTAGGGATACACAGAGAAACCTTGTCTCAAAACCACACCCCTCCAAACAAAAAATAAAAAATTAGGAGCTGGAGCAGCTGTATAGAACTGGCTGAGACTACTGGGGGTAGGCCAAGAGAGAATAGGGAGAGAAAGTGCTGCTTTGATGAGCGATGAAGGGAAGACACAACCTCATCAGGCAGGGGTTATTTTTATTTGAAGACAAAAACACCCAGTGTGAGAACTCACATGTAATTTGCAAAAGTTTTTAAAAAAAAGGAGAGAAAACCCAGAATTCAAAAGAGAAGAGAGGAGGGTGGTAGGTCCTAGACAGGTAGGGTCAAGCCACATAGGGGAAATGTAACAGCAAGCCCTCATGAGGATTCAGGCTCAGGTTTTCCAGATTCAGAGAGGTGCCCTCCTCTTGGCCTAGCCGGGTACTGTTGGTACTAAGTAATAGGTTAGCGCTGGCTGGCAGACTTATGCCAGCAGGGAGGTTGGAGGCCCCTAGCCTGGCTGACAGGCCCACATCCTTAAAGTTGAGCACCACCAAGTAACGCTCATTCTGGTCCCAGTGGCGGATGTAGGAGAAGAGGCCAGATGAGGAGGCCAGTGCATGGAAGTCACCATGCAACAGAGAGCGTTCTTTACCCCGACGGTCACTCAGCCACCGGAACTGGGTAAGGAGGGAGCCAGGGTCTTCACTCTGGCCCTGAAAATAAAGGACACATGGAAGGATGGAGTGAGGGGTCTACTGGACATCCATAAGCCACCTGCCCACCATGAGGGTCAGAAGGATGGAGTGAGGGGTCTACTGGACATCCATAAGCCACCTGCCCACCATGAGGGTCAGAAGGATGGAGTGAGGGGTCTACTGGACATCCATAAGCCACCTGCCCACCATGAGGGTCAGGCCCAAACTGCGTACCTTCACTGTCATGTTGGCGCTTACGAGTCCTGGGGTTAGGGAAAGGCTGGATTCATCCCACGGCATGAATGGGGCCTTCACGGGCTAACAAACAGAAAGTGTGGGACTTTAAAAAGGGGTGGGTCCACTCCCCTTCCTCCCATTCCTTATTTTCATTTCATCATTTTGTAAATTTTTTCCTGCTGCTAGAGGTCTTTGTGGCAGCACCTCATCATGGCACCCACACCTTGTACCTCTCTGCTTGTGTGGACTTTCACTAAACTGTGGGTTTCCAGAGGGCTAAGAGCCTATCAAATGGGTACAGAATACCACTGTACAACAAAACATTGGCTACTGTTCTGAACATATTACAAAACACCAGGTATTACCTTTAAAAATAAGTCCTTTGGTCTGGCAAGATGGCTCGAGAGAAAAGCACCTGCCATGCAAGCCTGACAACCTGAGTTTGACCCCCAGAACCCACATAAAGGCTGAAGGCAAGAACTTAACTCCACCAAGCTGTACGTTGATCTCTGTGCATGTACCTACACCATACACACACACATGCATGCACAGATGGATCTCCAGCTGAGTTCCACTCCAGGAGAATACGCTACGTGACGTCTGAGGCCAGCCCAGGATATACAGTGAATATGACAACAGGAAAACCCTGTTTAAAACATATACACTTGCCACACAGCCCACAGGATGACTGACAAGGCTTTTAACAAAGTTCCTCCTTGGGGCTGTTGTCTGTCTGCTGCTATCCACAAGATACCAAGATGTGATACATAAACAAACACTCTTTCCACACTGTGCTGGGCAGAAAACAAGTGGTACCTGTCCGGGAAGGACAGCTGCCTGCAGGCCAATCTCATCCCCATAGCTGAAAACAGGGGTCCCTGGCAGAGTGAAGAGCAGCAGCTGGTAGAGTCGGAGGAGCTGAGCTGGTACAGAGGCTGTCAGGAGTCCTGCCTGAGACACCTGGAAGACATGCCTGTGAGCACCTCCACCCCACACCACCACCTTCCATCTTCCCCTACACCCAACCAGCATGGTACTTACACTCCAGCTGCACCAGTGACTGCCAGTTGCATTCAAATACCGAGTGACTAGCAACTCTGTGTGCTCCCCAGTAAAACTGGAATTCGACAGATAGGAGCTAGTCAACAGCAGGTCGCTGGTGGAGTCAAGTATGCTCACGATTTGCTTCAGGTCAGAGGAGTCAGTCCCTGCAATCAAGAGCCTGCACAGAGCAAGGGCAGGAGTATCATTAGCACCAAAGCAGAGAGAAGAATAAAAGTGAACCGTTTTCAAGACCAGGAAACTCCCATTTAAGGGCTTAGCACTCCAAGGGGCTCTCACAATGGGCTCAGCCAGGCAGGCAGGGGTGTCAGTACCTACCTATCCTCACTGAAGTTCTTGGTGATATTCTGCCACTCAGCCAAGTATAAGGATGCATCCTACACCAAAAAAAAAAAAAAAAAAAAGCAGAATCAGAACAGAGAACATCACCTAGCCCTGGCTGAGACCCACCCACTCTTCTTATCAAAGCTTTGCCTCACCAAAAGGGCACTCACCATCAGTTTTCCCACATCCCGAACTTGGAACCCATCCACACCATCCTGCAACCAAGAAGTCAGAGCTTCCTGCAGGGGACAAAAGAATGGAGGAAAAGATCAACACACAAGTAAGCCCTCCCTACCCCAAATTCCCTGAGACCTCCACAAAACAGGGTCTCACTCTCTCTCTCCAAAGGCCGGACCCTGATGTGCTCTCAGTGGACAAGAGCATTTCTCTATTCTCTGTGTTTGCCTTGGCAAATCACACAGCTCCGCTTCTAACAGCTACAGAAAAGGCCCAAGAGAAAGTATGTTTGCAGAGCTCTAGCACCTAACACTTGGTATGTAGAATGAAAATTCCCTCAAATTGGAGATGAAGAAACAAGCTCAGAGAAGCAAGATGTCATGGCCAAGATCATAATCAGGGAACAGCAGAGACAGGCCCTAAAATGCCCATCAAGACCCTGAGGCAAATGTACTTACTCCTCTCCCAGTTTCCTGAGGCCTGGAGAGTGTGTGCTCTCCCAAGAGCTGGTGGGAGCATGGCCAAGAATGAAAAGTTTGAAATTCAAAACACAGCCTGGGGGCAGTTGAGACATCCGAAGAAAAGAGGCCAACTCTGCAGAGCAAGCCCAGGCCTGAAGGCTTAAGCCCTGGTTTCAACTGGCACTAAGCAGAGAACCACGCCCCCACACCTCCTTTCTTCCCTTCTCATCTGCTCTCCATCTTCAGCTGGGGCGACCACCTGAAAACATTACCAGTAGCTTTTCTTTTTGGCCTAAGACCCGTCTCCAACTCACTACATAACTGAGGCTGTCTTTTAACTTCTGATGCTCCAGCCTCCAACTCTCAGGCTTTCTCCAGTACTTTGAACTTCCTATGATCATAAGATCCCAGCGCTTGGAAGGCAAGAGGATCAGAAGTTCAAGGTCATCCTCAGCAACAGAGGTCTAAAACACAAATCTCCAAGCAGCTGGCAAGAGCCAAACTAGATGATTACAGGAGTCTGACCCATGTGCTGAGACTCCAAAATCCCCCCTCAGAATCACAGCTAACAGCAAAGTGTCAGCATCTGCCTCTAGTTTGTTATGTCCATCCTGGCAGTGCCAGTGTCCGGAAACCTAGGCATCAGAAGATAGGGGGACCCTGGAAGCTTTACCCCCGCCTGGTGGCTATACAGTTTAAACCACTACCACAAGGAAAGGCAGATTAGAAAGGATCATTGAAACTTCAAATTTGGAGCACATGAAGTCTCATTCCTCATTCACAGATTAGCAGTAACAGGTATTTTGTGGCATTACAAAACAAATTTTTTTAAAGCTATAAAATACTTGGGATGGGGTCTAGAGAGATGGCTCAGTGGTTACAAGGACCCAGGTTCAGTTCTTAGCACTCACAGGCCAGCTCACAACTGCTTCTAACTTCAGCTCCAGGGGATCTATCACCCTCTTCTGGCTTCCTGGGCTACCAGACATGCACATGGTGCACATACATACATGCAGGCAAAACACTCATACACATGAAAAACAAATCTTATTAAAAAAAAATTCATAGCGGGGCTGGAGATGGCTCATCAATTAAGAGCACTGACTGCTCTTCCAGAGGACCTGGGTTCAATTCCCAGGACCCACATGGCAGATCACAGCTGTCTGTAACTTCTGATCCAAGGGATCTGATGCCCTTACACAGACATATATGCAAGCAAAACACCAATGTGCGTAAAATAAAAATAAATAATTAAAAAAACAAACATGTCTGTTTAAAAAAAATCCATAGTGCAGTTAAAAAAATTTTAAATAATAAAATATTTGGCATAATCCCAGATACATAGTAAGGCCCCAGTACTTATAATTTCAGACTGGGCTCCATTCCAAACATAACAAACAAAAACTGGGAAACCAGTCAGATCAGGATTCCCACAGAGAAAGAAAAGACTTCCTATCACAAAAAGAAAAATCAAACTTCCAGACTAACATCTGAGAAATCCCCTTCCTGGCATCGCTTGGCTTCTAGAGTAAAGGAAACACACACACACACACAAAGAGCATTCAGAAAAGAAACAAGAAAAACACTGTGCCCCGTGGGCCTGTCCTTCAGGCTATGGGAGGAGGTATTCCTGATTATGAGACCCTTGCTAAGTACACACAGGGCTTGCTGTGAATTAATCCAGTCTGCCACCAACCATGAAACTCACCTTCACTCTGGCGGCTACAATGTCAGCCTGAGCAGGGAGGAACCATGCATTCTGGCCTCGGTAGTTGGGAGTGAGGTCCAAAATAATGTGAATGCCTAGAACAACAACCAGTTGAGAGGAATCCTTTGGGGTGAGAAGGAGAAGCAAGGAACCTCAACAGAAGGCTACCAAGTGCACCTATGTATGGTTTGTATCCTGGACCTGAATGAACCCCATCAAATCCCTCAGTCAATTTTACAATGGAGCAATTAAGTTTGAGCTACGGGACCTGGGTCCCTCCTCAAGAAGTCTTTCAACCTGTTTCCATATTGAGGTTTTGGTTTTTCTTTTTTTTCTCTTGAGACAGAGTTTTATGTGTATGGGCTGACTGGCTGAGGTAGACTCCTGCATCTACCTCCCAAGTGTTAAGATTATAGGTATACGCTTCTATATGTTTTACATTGTGCTGGGGAATCAAACTCAGGGCTTCATGGATACTAGGCAAGCACTTTTACCAACATTCTCAGCCCTCCTTATTGAGTTATTAAACAATAGTTGACTCTCTTACACACGAAGGATCCACTTTATAAACTTAAAAGCCAATTATTTCGGCCGGCCTAGCACTGGAGACCAGTAGAGCTCTGTAACTTGCATCTAGCCTGGTCTACACAGTAAGGGATGGGCCAACCAACCAGAGTTACATGATGAAATCCTACCTCAAAACCAAAACAAAAATAGATAAACAAAAATCACCCAAGAAGAGAACACAGGAAGCAGACTGTTTGGTGTGAATCGTAACAAATCTCCCCTGTGCCTGCCCTAGAAACACTCTGAACCAGTCAGGAGTAAACAAGATTAAAAAAAAAAAACTCCTGTCCTGCTTCTCGGCCAGAATGCCAAACCCTTCTGCTTCCTTGGGAAAACCCACTCTTTTTCTTGGCAGATTGCAGAAGGTCTTTAAAATCTTCCTGGGAGCCTAAAGTGGAGTCGATCTGTCTCAGGTCGGTTCCATTGATTTCATCCTTCTCGTTCTTGTGAATCGGGCCCAACACGAGGCCCTTCACCTTCAGGGTGCTCAAGTAGTCCAGATGCTTCTTCAGACCTACAACGAGGGAAGGACGAGTTAACCGGTGAGGCATGAGAAGCCTCAGGCCTCCACATTCTCTCCACCACTTTCCCCACTCCCTAAGGGGGCTGGATCACGAGACAAAGTGGCTGACGCAAGGAGCCTCGCACTTACTTCAGAAACTGGTTTGAACTAGCTCAGGCACCTGCCTCGTGGTTCGGGGAGGAGAAAGTGCTGAGTCAGCCGCCCTCAGGGAGAAGTAGGGGCAGGGTTCGAGCTTGTTTTTTAAAGAAAGGAAGGGGTGACTGTTTGCCAGGGAGTGGTCTCGGAAGTCAGGGCGCAGTGGAGAGCCACCTGGGTTCGTCTGGAGAGGGCCCGGCTAAATGAGGGGCACACGGAGAAAGGGATGGGTGTGCACCCCACTCACCAGCTAGGCCGCCCTCGTTCGGGCCCACGAAGGCCTGAAGGTCGCCGACGCGATAGAGGGCGCCCTTGTGCCACCACCTCTGAACCGGCAGCTCGCGGCAGCGCGGCGCCCTGACGATGATGACCACGGCGCCCGCCAGCATGCCAAGCCAGCCGAGCCAGAAGAGCAGCAGCAGCGCCCAGCGGGTGCGCACCCAGCCCGGGCTGCCGGCTACCTTCAACAGCTCCTCCTTGGACAAGCCTGTGAACTTGGCCCCGGCCTCCGCCTCGTCCTCGGCCACCTTGATCTTCACCAGGCCGTTCTTCTCCCCGGCCGCCGCCCCGGCCGCTGCATTCATAGGCTGTTTCTCGGGTTCTATCTCGTTCAGCTCCACCTCCTTCATGTCCACTTCGGTGTCCTGGCTCATGGTGCCTGCAGAACCAGTGACACGACACGGCTTGTGGTCAGCGGGGCGGCTCGAATCCTGCCTGGACCTCCGAGTACAGAGAGCTAGCTGTCCCACGACCGTGAGGCGGGCTCAGCTTCCCTAACTGCTTCTGCCGCCCGGCGGGCGTCGCGGCGGGGAAGTGCCCCGGGAGCTCCGCCCCAGTCCGCCCCTTAAAGGGGTGCGGTGAAATAGTTCCTCGACTCCAGCTTCTACACATTGTGCAGCCTCGCGGCTTGAACCTCGATCCCTAACGCTTCTTCCAGTCAGTCTGGGAAACAGAACACGTAGTCGGTCACTTATAGGATAACAAACAATTTGTCCTGACCAAGTTCCAAAGCCCCTCCTCCGAACGCCAGGCACCACTCCCCGCAAGGCCTCCATCCTCTCAGCAGGATGGCACCAATCTCCATCCACACCTATCATGCCTTCGCCCCAGGCAGGGCTCTGGCTAACACCCGGTCTCTCCAACTTCACACAGACCCTTGCTCACTGAGGCAACTACATCCCACTTCTGCTTTCCCCACACCAGGTCTTGTCTTCTGAGAGTCCGGACAGACTCTTAGCTCAGGTCCTGGATTCCCCCTTGGGCTTACTCCCACGCACCTTTCAAGACTCTGAATTTAATTCCTCAGGCAGCTACTATTTACTGAGCACCCACTCCAATCTTTTGTTCATTAATTGCTTAGAATTAACTCTAATCCGTTCTTCTCCCTGATTTAAGATTAATCTGCAGGCGAGAACTGCAGTTGAAGTGGACTCTACCCTTCTTATCAACCTTAGCTACTAGTGAAGGAATGTTGGGCAACTGGGAATCCGACATCCCGAAGAGATGAAGGGGGCTGTGATAGACATTCCAAAGGCATTCAGGCATTCTGAATATACATGATGTTCTGACTCTTACCCATCTTCCATACTTCTCACCCTCCAGTATGCCAGGCTGTCTACATCTCGTGACTATGCTAGGCCCCGGAGGCAGCTTAGTTCCCCCACACTTTGGAAGCTTCACAAATTTCCTCCAAGAGGTCCCTTCTATGAAGGGTAAATGGGGCAGACTGGGTTCACAGCAGGGACCACTGGACATCAACACTAGGAGGTGCCAACACTCGCAGGAACGTCTTGTTCTTTACAGCCAGTTGAGTTATTTTCAGAGAGGAGCTTAAGGAAACAGGTCCTTTCTCCCCCTCCCACCTAGGCTGGCAGCAAGATTGCTATATATTTGGAAGAAAGCAGAAGCCACGATCTGAACAGTAGAAAGGGGTGTGAAACGTCTCATTACCTGCCTTTCAAATTCCCCAAAGTCCTCCCCAGCCTCTCTAGAGAAAAGCCTACATACCAGGAAGAGGCAAAGTGAGTCCAGGTTAAGTTTCATGCCAGTGTTCACAGATGATAAGAGGTCTACCTTGCCCTGGGCATGCCAGATAAGAAAGGTTCAGGACAGACTTATACCCAGCATGAAAGCTCCAGGTCTGAGGACTGTGCAAGCAGAAGCACTCCTTGAGATGGGTGAATGTAACGCTCCTAGAAACACAGCATGTTCATCTGGGAAATGTGCTTGCCCACCAAGCCTAACAATCTAATCAATCCACATGGTGGAAAGAGGACTGACTCCCAAAAGTTGTCCTCTGGCCTCCACATGATCACTTCCCCCACAAAATAAATAAAATTTTAAGGTAGCATAGCATCTCCCTGCCCCCACAGCTCAGGTGGCAAAAATCAATTCCTAACTGTCTTAGAGACGTGAACTCACCTCCTCAGTCTTTTCACTCAGCACAGCTTCCCAATCACTACTGTCCAGCCACATCAACTTCCCAGCACCTGCCAATCTCCTAAGACACAGGGTATTTCCAGTCTTATGCCTCTTGTATATGCTGTTGCCTGCTGTGAGAGAGAGCGCTCACCTGGAATTATTTTCCCTCCACCTGTCGTTTGTCACTGCTACAATCCAGGGCCCACCATTTGTTGTCTCTGCTTCCTTGTCTAAGTGTCTGCCTTGAAGAGAAGTGGTGAGAGCCTTGTGCTATCTGTCAATCAGCTTGTTTTCTCAGATACCACACTCTAAGCCCTTCATACGTGTTTGGTAAATGAGTGGATGAACTGTAGGACTCAAACCCACTCTGCCCTTCTTAGAAGCAACTAAACAAAGTTAAGCACTACTATATCAAGACGAAGTGGTTTGTGTAGAAGCAAACCAAGTCTCGTTACTGTTCAAACAAAAACAAAATGGTAGCAATGGAGGACAGGAAAAAAGACTATAGAGAAAGAGGCCAGAGGTACCAGGCATGGTGGCATAAGCATACAATCCAAGCATTTGGGAATTGGAGATAGGAGGATTAGGAGTTCAAGGCCAGCCTCAGAAGCACAGTGAGGCAAGTCTGGGCTACAGGAGACTCTGACATGACAGAGAGGAGAGAAAGAGGAAAGGGAAGAAGGAGTTCAAGACTCCAGAGGTAAACAGAGAGCTTCATATCCTGCTAGTGTGTGTTGACTAAAATAAACTTAGAGCTAGGAATGCAGTTCAAAGGAGGGGAATTACCTACCATGTGCAAGATCCAGGGTTCAATCTGCAGCACCACAGGCATTGAAGAATGAAGGGCTACAGATGTAGCTCAGTTGGTAAAGTGCTTGCTTAACACTTGAAAAGTGGGTTCTGGGTTCTATCCCTACCACCACATAAACCCGGCGCAGAGGAGGCACAGGCCTATAACCTTAGCACTCAAAGGGGAGGCAGGAAAAGTTCAAAGTACCATCAACTACACAGCAACTTTGAGGCCAGCCTGGGCTACATGAAACCCTGACTCAGAAACAAGCAACAGCAAAGACAAAAACAAAGTAAATACAATAGATAATGCTGGGAGAAGTAGATTATGTGAGGCCACAGTGAGAATTAAGTCCAAGAAAAGGCCCGGAGGAGGCACATCCCGAAGTCAGCAGGAAAGCACGCGTGAGAGGGGCGTTCTCATCATTTAGAAGCTAAGCGGTAGCTCCACTACGGTCTAGAGCTGAGAAAGAAGAGGCATAGCTGAGCCACTGAAGATGCAGAGATGAGTGGGAATGAACCACCACATCCATCACATGTACCCAAAGCACATACAGAACAGCCTATCAGGAGCTCAATACTATCTGAGCCTACCAAGTCCTATCAACATCACACAGACCCCGCAGCTCTTTGATAACATGAAACGGTTCTTCCAGCCTGAAGCAAATCAAAAACTGGAAGTAATAAAAGCTGGTCCTGACTGGAACCACCATTGTTTATGCATCATGCAAAAAAGCACCTATAGAGGGTGTCTTGAATAGACTACACAAAAGAAGAAATAAAAGGACTTGTGGGTGCCAGTCATATTCTGAAACAGCCTTGAAAAACTAAGTAGGAGGAAGCTTGGTGTGAGAAACACCTGGAATCCTAGCATTTTGGAAGCCTGAAGCAGGAAGATCACAAGTTCCAAACCAGCCTGGGCTACAGAGGAAAACATGATCTCAAAAATAAAATAACAGTGCGGGCTGGAGAGATGGCTCAGTGGTTAAGAGCAATAACTACTCTTCCATAGAACCAGAGTTCAATTCCCAGTACCCACATGGCAGCTAAAAACAGTCTGTAGTTCCAGTTCCAGGGGCTCCTATGCCCTCTCCTGGCCTCCAAGGGCACTGCACACACATGGTGTACAGAAACATACATGCAGGCAAAAAACACCCATACACAGAAATAAATATTTTTGTTTAATTTTTCTGTCTATTAATTAGACCGGGGGTGTACTCAACAATAGGAGCACTTGCCAAGCACACACAAGGCCTGTGCCCAATCCTCAGAACCATAAAAACACAGATAAAATTAACTTCGGGGCTGGGAAGATGGCTAAGCCTCCACTGTCAAGGATGACCTGAGTTTGATTCCTGGAACTCACATGGTGGGAGGAGAAAAATGCCTCTCGAGAATGGTCTTCTGAACTCCACACTTGCTACATGGCACCTGCTCACACGAATAAGTAAATAAACAAAATATATTGTTAAATAAATAAATGCAGCTAGCACATGCCTTTAATCCCAGCACTAGGGAGGCAGAGGGAGGCAGATCTTTGTGAGTTCAAGGCCAGCCTGGTCTACAAAGCAAGTTCCAGGAAAGCCAGGGTTACACAGAGAAACCCTGCTGTGGGATGTCCTATATGTTGTGAATAAATAAAACGCTGATTGGCCAGTAGCCAGGCAGGAAGTATAGGATAGGCTGGACAAACAGAGAGAGGCTGGGAAGTGGAAGTCTGGAGACACCAGCCTGCCGTCCAGGGAGCAGCAGGTAAAGCCACGGAACACATGGCGACACATAGATTAACAGAAATGGGCTGAGTTTAAGCGTAAGAGCTAGACAATGGTAGGCCTGAGCTAATGGCCAGGTAGTTTAAATAATATAAGCGTCTGTGTGTTTATTTTATAAGTGGGCTACGGGACGAAACTCTTTAGCTACAAAACCCTGTTTCAAAAAATCAAAAATATAAAATAAATAAATGCATAGTGTTAGGAGCATAGCTTAGTGGTACAGTGTGTGTTTAGCATGTTCAAGTTCCTGTGTTGGATCCCTAAAACAAACTAAGACTGACAGACAGAACTTGCCCCCTGGGTCTCCCAGTTCCTCGTGAAGCTCTCGACATTTGCACATTTCCTTTTTCCATTACAAGGAGGCAGTGCCTCTTGCTACCAGGTGGGGGCGGGGTTGTTCTTCGGCCAAACATTTATTCGGTAGCACTCTTTTTCTTTTCTTTTCTTTTTTTTTTTTTTTTTTTTTGGTTTTTCAAGACAGGGTTTCTCTGTGTAGCTTTGTGCCTTTCTTGGAACTCACTTGGTAGCCCAGGCTGGCCTCAAACTCACAGAGATCTGCCTGGCTCTGCCTCCCGAGTGCTGGGATTAAAGGCATGTGCCACCACCACCCGGCTCATTCGATAGCACTCTAACAGGAAGCTCATCCTCAGTGATGAAGGACCAATTGAGACTGGGA